ACTTTTCTTTTTTTTCCCCCACCTACCTCTAATGTATCTGGAGTCTAATTTTTGGTGCAATGTAGGTATTTATTCTTTCCTGTGTGATAAGCCATGTTCCAATACCATCTGATTAAAAACTCTGTCCTGTGCCCATGCCAGTGGTGCATCTTTGTAACACTTTTTAAAATAAAATAACTGATATTACTGTCCATATAAAAAGGCTCTTGGAAGAAGGATAAGCCAGGATAAAAAAAAGGTCAAGGAACTACTTTGCCCTCCCACCTTAGGAAAGAGAATAGTTATGCTATTGAGCCCACATGCAGATAGGAAAAACGAAACACTCCTGGGGGAAACAGCAGGGCACTGTGGCACATGCCTGTAATCCTAGTTCCCAGAAGACTGACTCAGGAAGGTCATGAGTCTGAGGCCAACCTGGGATACACGGTGAGCTATGTCAAAAGCAAACCAAAACCAAACCAAACCAAGAGCTAGTCTTTCCAAATGAATTTTCAGACCTTGCATAAAGGGTCTTATTAACACTGTTTTTTGTCAAGCACTTCAAGTATATCAAGTAACTTCTTCCCATGTTTAGTAGCATAATAATGTGTTTCTATGTGATGTTACATACATAAACCATTTTGAATACCACAACTATGTTATCTATCACATCCAAACCACTTTAGCAATAGGCACTTAAGATGCTAGGGGATCTCTTATCCACACACATACACACACACAAAAGAAAAATTCAACTTTGCTGAAGCTTCCTGAAATTCATGAAACGATTTAAAGAACTTGATGATAGAATATAACATTTAACTAGGAAATTTTCTGTAAGCAAGGAAAAATCCAGCAAAAAAATAAGCCTTATTTATGGCCCAATTCAGCATCCTGCACAGAGAAAAATCCTTAAAAATCTTTTCCTTTCCACCCTGGCAGAGAGCCCGTACCTTTGCTGGGGTGGAATTTACATGCAGACCCAAAATCTTCTTTCATGAAAATTATGACCTGCTTTTGCCTTTGTCTAGAGTCTTCAAGAGTCACTACACTGAGGCAGCCCGGCGCCAGCTCACGCCTGTAATCCTAGCTATTCAGGAGGCTGAGATCTGAGGATGTGGTTCAAAGCCAGCCCAGGCAGGAAAAGTCCATGAGACTCTTATCTCCAATAAACCACTCAGAAAACTGGAAGTGGTGCTGTGGCTCAAGCAGTAGAGCACCAACTTTGAGCTGAAGAGCTGAGGCCCAGAGTTCAAGCCCCATGACTGACAAAAAGAAAAAGAAAAAAGAAAAAGAATAACTACACTGAGTAGTAACTGCACATGGAGTTATTTCCAGAGGTGGTGCAGCACAATGACTTATCGGCTTAAATGAATACTTAAATACTTAAATGAATACCCTTGGATCAGGCTGGAAATTATTTTTGGAGTCATATTATTCTGTTAACATTTTCTAGTGATGCTAAACAACAGTATAAAATAAAAGCTACCAAGCCATTGATTTTCTTAGGAATGAACAGCAGATATTATGAGTTAGCATCCTAACTAAAAGGCCCATTGTTATTTAGAACCAGTATTCAGACTTTCCATTTTCCATGCTCCTGGATGTTCTTAAATTTCAGAGCAGAAGATCAACTCCATTCCATCTGAAAACATTTAAGCAGTGCTGGTCATCCACAGAGATTCCTCCAGAATGTTCCCATCAGACCTGGTGGTGGCTAATCTATGCATCTATAAGAAAAGTTCATAGTCTTTATATTATGACCTTAGTGAAAAGCTTGCAAGAATCTCCCACTATAGAACAAAAAGCACTGTGGGCTTTTGTTTTACAACTTCCCTAGTAGATATTTTGTACTATTGAAAATCATATTTTAGAAACTCTCAAGGAATGTTCTATTTTGTACTAAAAGACATTACAGATGCATCCTAATGCATCTAGTGGAAGTGAATAGTTTACCTGTAGCAGGCAGGAAATTATGAGGTGAATGAGGTACGTTGCCTCTCACGCTGGTTCTCCCCAGCATACAAACTCCTCTTAAGAGTGTGGCCAATAGCCAGAGCTGAGAAATTTTGGAGATACGAAGGATGCTCACACTGTGATACATACAAGTGGCACTGAGACATATAACATACAAAAATTCAATGATTTTTTTAAACCAACATTTCCTATCAGCTATGAGAGTTATAAAATGCAAACAGTTCTTTTTGTTTGGTAGTGGTGTTCTGGCAGACTTTTCACCAAGATCAAAGCAAAAAAGTAAAATGGTAAACTCCATCTCATTGATGTGTAGATGGGTCACCAGTAACATGAGCTGTGGACCCTCTAGATACGTCTGAGTATCTTTTTTATTTTATTTGTGCCACTCTTGGGACTTAAACTCAGGGCCTGGGTGCTGTCCTGCGCTTTTATGCTTTGTTGTAGTCAACTGGGGATAAGTGTCTGTCTCACAGACTTTCCTGACTCTGTTGGCTTTGAACTGCAATTCTCCATCCAACCGAGTGGTGTTTTGTTTTGTGTTGTTTAAAACCAATGACCTTTGGATAATAGGAGTCTAGGCAATTATAGTACAATTTCCAACAGGCATTACTTTACAAATGTAAAGTAGTGAATAAACTTTAAGACTATGCATGGGAAAAAATTTTTTGGGTGGGCATGTGTGCCAGTCATAGGGCTTGAACTCAGGGCCTGTGCACTGTCCTTGAGCTTTTGTGCTCCAGGCTGGCATTCTACATTTGAACCCCAGCTCTACTTCCGGCATTTTTTGGTAGGTAATGGAGATAAGAGTGTTACAAGCTTTCCTGTCTGTGCTGGCTTCAACCCTGAATCCTCAGATCTCAGCCTCCTGAGTAGCTAGGATCACAGGTGTCAGCAGCCAGTGCCCAGCAAGGCTACATTTTTTTTTCCACATAAAAATTCCTCAAACATTTTCCATTGAGTTTATTGGAACCTGGATATCAAGATGTACCTTAATCTCATAATATTCTGAACATTTCCTAAATCTATGCAAATCACACTAGAGATTCTGTTTTGGTATTGTAGAGGAAATCATAAGTTAAAATATCATGTTATATGGTAACAAGTACTAAATGTCTTAACCATACCCAATTTCTATTGAAAGAACATAAAGTGTCCACATCAAAATTTAATGATTTATTTTGTATATTCTATTAGTTTTACTCATCAATCATGTATTTCCAATACCATCAAAAAGAAATTGTTTCTACTTGTCATAAAATACCATGAGAGAAACATTTTATTAGCTATAAAATACTAGAGTGTTCTGATCCATTTTTAATAATCCATTGCAAGTAGCATGACTGAAACATTACCAATACTGCAGACAAATTAATTAAAAACTAATTACACCCATTATGAACACTAAGAATAAGCTATCTATTCATCACAAAAAAAGATGATAAAATAAGACTTTGTGTAACAAAAGGTATTTTCCTTTTGGAAAAATATTTATCTATGAACTCTTCATCAATTTATAGAGCTAATAGTCTTTATTTACTATATTAGAACAAATGAAAATAGAAACTCAAAATAACCTCACAAATGTCAACTACAATCAAAGTTAAAGTGCACCTTATCAAAATGAGTAATTGTACAACACAGTGTTCATAAATATGTAGACATTTATTGTACAACACAGTGTTCATAAATATGTGGACATTTGGTAAAATTCTCTGGCTCAGTTAAGAATTGAAAACATATTTGTTATTTTGGCATGTTGCACTGGTCTGATTCACTCCTTTTTTATCTTTTTTTTTAATGAAGATACAAGATACGCAGAAAATTTATACACAAGATTTTTTTTTCTGTTGGTCAATGTGTTCAGTAGATGCAGGGAAAACATGTCATCAAGAGTCATCATCATATAAGGAAGTGATATCAAAATGCTAAGACTTAATACCCATTTCTATGAGAAATGATAGAGTTATGCATTCTCTGTCTCATATAAGCTACATCTTTCCTTGTAAGCATTAAGTCTTGGCCTTCCTGATGGAATTGAGTAGGTCTGATTATTCTTATTTACTAACCTGGGTCAAAGCCACCACCTCCATACATAGAACCTTCCCTTCCTGTGGTAGGTTTTAGGGCAGAAAGCATGATCAACCTTCAGATGGTCTCATGCTGATGAATCACAATCAAGGGAACAGTTTTCCTTCCTCATTGTGTTCCCTCTACCCACAAGTTTCTTTACTTGGTAAACATTTATTTAATTCTGAAATTATGCTTTCTTTGACATAATTCTGCTGATGGTCCTGCCAGCATTTTCTTTTCCTTTGTCAGTCGTGGGACTTGAACTCTGGGCATGAGCACTCCAGGATTTTCTTTTAACCATCATGGAGAACCCTTATTGTATCAGAGACACATCTATTTCCTCTTACCAAAGGCAGTCATCTTTATACTCTTCACACGAACCTGGTACAAGACCTGGTATAAAACAGTTGTACAGCTGGGCGCCGGTGGCTCACGCCTGTAATCCTAGCTACTCAGGAGGCTGAGATCTGAGGATCACGGTTCAAAGCCAGCCCAGGAAGGAAAGTCTGTGAGACTTTTATCTCCAATAAACCACTAGAAAACTGGAAGTGGTGCTGTGGCTCAAGCAGTAGAGAGCTCGCCTTGAGCTGAAGAGCACAGGAACAGTGCCCAGGCCCAGAGTTCAAGCCCCACAACCGCCAAACAAAACAAAACAAAACAAAAAAAAAACACAAAAAAGTTTTACAATACTTTAGAAAAAAAAAAGCCAGGTGCTGGTAAGTCAGGTTGGTAAACATAGCTACTTGAGAGGCTGAGATTGGCAGGCTCAAATTCAAGGCCAACATGAAAATACACATGAGATCCCATCTCAACCAATAACCCAGTGTGGTGGTACACAACTATCATCCTAGCTATGATGGGAAACATAAAATAGGTGGATAATGGTGAGGGAAAGCAAGACCTCATCTGAAAAATAACCAATGCAAAAAAAAAAAAAAAAAGGGCTGGAAACATGAATCAGCAATGCAGTGCTGGCCTAGCAAGAACAAGGCCTTGAATTCAAATCCCAGTACAACTCAAATCCCCTCCTCCCCAATTTATTTAAGCTTTAAATTGAGTAAGTGTCCCATAGGCCAGATAACAGGTAAGAAAAGCTAACTATTGTAACTCTTCATGATCCTGTCAGTGGGGAGAACAAAAAAAAAAGTCACAAAGCTGAACAGAAAGTTAATAAAAATGATAAAGAGGGATTAAAATGATAGCTAACAAGATGGAAAGAAGTGGCTGAAACCTAACTAATACACCGCGGCTAATCAGAAACAAACCGTGACACAGGCAGAGAATTTCATCCCTGAATGATTAAAGATTTCTTGCTCAACTACATCAATTTCTGGTATGTACTTTCTTATAGGACAGAAAGTAAAACAGGGAGGATCTGATTCATAAAGAGAAGGTGTGAGAGAAAGAAACGCAGCACACAGGAATGATTCGGCTGTTGGTTTTACAAAAGGTTTCCAGCATACTCTACCCTTACTGACAGTCTGGTGAGGACTGTTATAAATAGGAAGTGTTCATCAGGTCCCTATCTCATACTTCACACCAAATGCTAGGCCAAGAGTTCTCACAAATTATCTCATTTTGCTTGCCCGAGTTAGATACTGTGGTTCCCATTTTTCTGAGAAGGAAATGGAAGCTTGGGAACGACTTTGGGAGGTTGGAAAGTTTAGCAGAAGAACTTTTACCAACCCAAGTTCTGGAGCTGTGCTATCATAAATATTCTGTAAGTAGCTTTTGGAAATCTCTGTAACTCACCTACTTCCTGCATCACATTAAAAACTCATTCCCATGTGAAGACGCTTTAAGCTAGCTCACATTTGCTAAATTGTAATTTGAGGATTCCTTTCACATGAAGTTGGAGAATCTGGTTGTATTCTCTGGGCATCTGATGGAAACCGCGTTTGGGTAATGTGTTGTCATAGTAGTGGTGGCTGACAGGTGTGTCTTCTAGAGTTTTCGAGAAGGGCCAGAAGCCATAGAGCTTCACGTTGGCACATAGTTCCACTGCCACACTTGTGATCATCAAGCCGGTCGACAAGCGGTATGCAGTCACCCCTTTAGTTCTCCAGAAAAGAGCAAGGTGTTTCAGGTACTTGGGATGGAAAAAGAGAACCTTTTGTCTTGCTTTAGATTCTTTGAGCGTGTAGTATACTTTAAAAGAGGTGCCAGTGTTGGCCCGGAAGGAAAATGCTGGAAGAAGAAGGAATGCATCTCCGTAGGTGGCAATGTCCTCCAAAAATACTGCCTTCTTCTCCTTCAAGTTCCCATATCTGGCCAATTAAAAAGAAAAAGAATCAAAACAATTATGAAATAATAAAGTGAACAGCTCTGATAACATGAAATGGAATCCAATGGAACAATTTTATATATCCTATTTATAAAAGAGAGAATCAGGTAAGTGGAGAGAGTAAACGGGAGTGGGAGAGATGGGAGAAAATGATGGAAGAAATGGCATTGATACATTGTACTCGTCTGGGCACTGGTGGCTTATGCCTGTAATTCTAACTATTCAGAAGGCTGAGATCTGAAGATCATGGTTTGAAGGCAGTCCAGGCAGCCAAGTCCATGAGACCCTTTTCTTCAATTAACTACCAAAAAAGCTGGAAGTAGAGCTACTGTGGCTCAAGTGGCAGAGCACTAGCCTTGAGAAAAATGCTCAAGGGCAGTAGTCAGGCCCTGAGTTCAAGCACCAGGACTGGCATACAGACACCTAAAAAGGATACATTTTACTCATAAACTGACTTGTTGAATTAAAACTCCTTTGTACAAGTACTTAAATAATAAAAATTTAAAAAATTATAAATAAATAAGAAAGCCCACAGAGTCAGAAAAATTCAGTCAAGTTTCTTTCAGAAAATCTAAAATATGTAACATGCAAATATGGTTAGCTGCTGTTAAATTTTTCCTTTATGAAATTGTGCTATCACTATATGATTTGCATGATAGTAAGTTCCTGGAAGCACAGTTGTATTTGGAAAGCAAGCACTCCCAAAGAAGGTAGGTACAACATGCTTTTTTCTCTCAAGAGATTTTAGAACTATTGGGAGGGTCCTATTCTATTAATGACCATTATCAGGCACTTTTTATTGGTGAAATTATTACTTGAACTTGGGGGCCTTGTGCTTGCTAATCAAATGCTGTACCATTTGAGCCACACCTTGAACTCTTTTTGTTTTCACTGTTTTTTTTATGTAGGGTCTCACTTTTTACCAGGCTTGCCTGGACTAACATTCTCCTAGTTACTCTTCCGGCATAGCTGGGGGCCATTGCCTCCAACGTTTTATTTATTCAGAGAATATCATGATTTTTTTTGCCTGAGCTAGCTCCCAACTATCAATTCTCCCAGTCTCTGCCTCCCAAGTACCTAAGATTACAAGCATGAGCTATCATGCTTGGCCTTATTTTTTTTTTTTTTTTGATGAAAATAGTACAATAAAACTATGTGTGGGATTTTAAAAAAATGAACCAATTCACATTTTGTAGTAATTACATTGTAGAAATGGACATGGAAATTATCCAACATAAGGACTGTATTTTACCAAGTTGTCCTAGGGCTCGCACTGAACTGTCTAGAAGTGTTCCCACCCCCCCCAAAAAAAACACTACCAAGATAAAAGAGAAATGTAAAAACTCTGAAAGAAAATGAAACTAACTTCACTATTATTAAAGATGGAGAGATAAATACATTCTCATTTAGAAACATGGAGCTCATGACACTGTAAGTACAACGGAGTCACAACTCTGATGAACCACAATCCTGTTGGCATGCCAGAAGATGCAAATATATTCTTTTGTGTTTTTCCATAAAGCCATTTTGCAAGTCAGCCTCAGAAACAAAATGAGTCCTTGGTGAGAGAAAAATATGCAACAATGGAAAAGAGTTTTTTTCTAGCTATGAAACTCAGAGGACTTACTTCAGTGTAATGATACTGGGGTTCACAGTCACAAGATTGGTTTTGCTGCCCACATCTTTACTAATGTTTCCTGTGGTTGGAGGCAGGTTGCACCTGAAATGTGGAAGGGAAGGTATTGAAATGCAAAGAACAAGTGGACCTACATGCACATGCACGCGCGCGCGCACACACACACACACACACACGTGTGCGTGCACGCACATCAGATGGCAGTGCATCACGAAATCCTTGGAATCCAAGTGGTTTCACTTAAAACTACTTTGACAAGTTCTGAACCCCTCGCTGACATTTCAACATTATCGAAAGTGTACAAACTTGGTAAATGCTTTCAAATATCAAGATCAGAAATGACAATGATAAGTGACTTTTGTAAGTATCCAAACCAGAAATGACAATCATACCTTGCCTAGTTTTTGAAGTTTCCAGTCCTTTTATTCAGATGGCTATTTATATTGGTTGTATTGGTTTTTATTGATTCTATTCAGTCATCTACCAGCCATTTAAATATGAAAAAAAATTGAGGCATTGCAAGTAATTGAATAGCATCTGCCAGATGCAGGAACTGCAGAGTTGCATGAAAACCTCCCCGTTCCCACAAGGAGAGCTTTGCCACAAGTTATAGTATTAATAAATAAAACCCTAATATTTTTATAGTGATGTTTTGATCCTTTCGATCTTTTTGTCCTTTGAGAACTAATTTGTTTTTATGTAGGAAAACAAATTAAGCATTCTAATTTGGGTATATTCCAATGACACAAAAAAGGGAGCGGTGGTTATGACTCTCTAAATATATTTCCAGCTCAGAACATGGAGTGTTTCATAAGGGAAGCTGTTCAGAGATACCATCTTTAATACAACTGGACTAAAATATTCCATTCTATGCTCCATGACATATGAATAAATGAACCATTTATTTCCTTTTATATAAAAGATATCTCACAAAATAAATATTCTGTATAGATTGGGGGACCACAGAATAACCTCAGAGGCCCTCTTGTGACAAATCATAGTGTTGTCTTCTTTTACAAAATCAAGAGATTTCCAACACAGCATTACAGAAGACCTCTTGGGGAAGCATGGGTATGTGTATTTATGAATACACATTGCATATAAATGTGTGACTTGGGTATATTCATCACATATGCATAACTATGATATTAATGTGTGTTGACATAGAACACATACATGCATACAATATGTGGAATATGAATATAAGGTTATATAAAATATGTACACACAGTAGTATAAGTACAGTACCAGTTTAGTTAATGATGACTTTTGTTAGTTCATAGCTATGACTATTTGCAAAAAAACTCCAAGTAATTCCATTGTTTATAAATTATCAGCATGCTTATAAATTATCATCATGTTTATAAATTATCAGACAATATAAGCACCACCTTAAAAAAATTAAGCAACTTTGGATGAGTGAGAATGTTAACATTGATCAAGATGCATTGTATTCATAAACTGCTGTACAACTACTTAAAGATAATAAAAATATATTTTAAAAATTAAACAACTTTGCATAACACCACCACAGCTAGCCCTCATTTTGCCTTTTGGTCTGATCAGCCAACTTGATAGAGAATTCTATGTGCAAAAATTTCTGACTTCAGCAAAAGGAGAACCTGGAAACACAGGCATTTATTTTGGAGCTATAAATCAAACGGGTGTTGAGAGTTTTGTTTTGGACTTTGAAATCTAAATGTGTATCCCTGACACTTGGTATAACGTACAGTAAAATGAATGTTTAGGCTTCACGCTTAGCATGTTTGTGGAATTTTAAGTCTAAAAAGTCCACTGCAAGCCAGAAGTTGACGGCCCACGTCACTAGTCCTAGCTGCTCAGGAGGCTGAGATCTGAGAAGAGCAGTTCAAAGTTAACCCAGGCTAGAACGTCTGTAAGACTCTTTTTTGTTGTTAGTCATAGGGCTTGAACTCTGGGCCAGGGTGCTGTCCCTGAGTTCTTCAGCTCAAGGCTAGCACTCTACCACTTGAGCCACAGCACCACTTCTGGTTTTCTGGTGATTAACTGGAGATAAGAGTCTCACGGACTTTCCTGCCCAGGCTGGCTTTGAACCAGGATCCTCAGATCTCAGCCTCTCGAGTAGCTAGGATTACAAGTGTGAGCCACTGGTGTCCAGCTTGTGAGAATCTCACCTCCAATTAGCTACCAAAAGAGCCACAAGTGGAATTGTGGCTTAACTGGCTGAGTGTTTCTTTGAGCACAAAAGCTCAGGGATAGCGCATAGGCCTTGAGTTTAAGTCCCAGAACCAACACACCCACACACATAAGTCTATTGCATGAACAACTATTTATCTTCATTATGACTTTTTTCACATTGAAAATTTGAACAAAATGGTCAGATCATTCAGACATTCAGATCCTGACTACTGAAATGTCAGCCTTGAGGAACACATTCAGTAATCAGGCTGTCAGACTGATTTAAATAAATATGAGATTTACATATGAGATGGAAGTGTGGGGGGAACTAATTATTGAACACTTAGTTATTGTGACTTTGTGTTCAATTTGTAGAAAGACTAGCAATAAATCAATAGAGATCTAAAGGTCTCTGATGTATGAAATCAATGCTCTTAGAACAGAAAGAGGCAAATTTCCACACACTCTTTAAAGAGGTGCATTTCAACTGAAATCCATCCTCAGAGGGATGAATCACCTCTGTGGTATTCTCAAGGTGGAGATGCTTTACAGTCTGGCTTATTAGCATGGTCATACACAGAAACCAGCTAGCTAGTGTTGAGATGAAAATATTTTTTTATTGTGAAAATACTGTACAGAGGGGTTACAATTACATGGGCAAGATAATGAGTACATTTCTTATCAAGCATTGTAGCCTCCTCCTTTGTTTCCCCTTCCCATCCTCCCCCCCCCCCTACCCAACCCTTCCCCCCCCCCCACCAAAGCTGTAAAGTTTGTTTTCAATATAACAACTTGTATATCTCATTGTTGCAATGGGTCCACCTGTATCCCTATTTAAACGATTTGTTTTCCCCTTCCCCTCCACAAATTATACCGACATCAAATACAGTGAAAGCAGGGGTTATACTGTGGGGGAGGGACATACAAAGCAACAAAGAAATAATCTTATAAATGTGTCAGAAACAATCGCATGAAAGGAAAAAAAAATTTGAATACATATCTTAGGGTTCATTTCCCTAACATCACCTTATTTGACCTTTTCTGCTTGACTCAGACATATACTAGATATTGCAAATAAGGGAAATCATGGGACCTATGTTTCTTTGGGTCTGGCTTACTTCAGTTAATATAAATTTTTCCAAGCCTTTCCATTTCCTAGCAAATGGGGCAATGTCATTCTTTCTGATGGAGGCATAGAATTCCATTGTGTATATATACCACATTTTCTTGATCCATTCATCTACTGAGGGTCATCTGGAATGGTTCCAGATCTTAGCTATAGTAAATAATGCTTCAATAAACATAGATGTGCTCATAGCTTTAGTGTGGTCTTGTTTGTGAACATTTGGGTAAATGCCCAAAAGAGATGAAAATATTTTAAAGGACCAGAATTTAGAAGCTTTGCTATTATAAAAAAAACACCACCAAATTGTAAAAACAAAACAATGAGGTTTCTCTTCCTTTCTTTTCTTTGCTGGTACTGAGCTTGACTTCAGAGCGGTGTACTTACTCAGCTTGCTTACACACAGATGGCACTCTACCACTTGAACCATGGCTCCAGCTCATCTTTTTGCTGGTCAGTTGCAGGTGCAAACTGGCAAACTTTTCTCTTCAGACTGGCCCTGAACTATGATCCTTTGTATTTCAGTCTCCAGAATAGCTAGAATTACAGGCAGGAGTCACCAGTACTCAGTAAGATGTTGCATATAACATTTCCCCTATCATTACTGGAGGACAAAACTACCTTGAAATGCTCTGATTTACAAAAAATAAGTCTTCACGGTCAAACACATCCAAGGTCAAGCATCTCTTCCTTCCTGGAGTCCTTCCAAGGGAGCTATAGTCTCCATTCACATACTGAATGATCTGATCAGTTTTTGTGTGAAACCTTCCAGTATGATTTTACCCAGGTCCCTGCCAACTGGATTAAATGAAGATTATTTTTATCTTTGAGTACAAATATTCTGAAAAGCTCACGAACCTCTTCAGAGAAATGCGCCTCAATAATTTGCAGGCTTTCACCACACAAGTCAAAACTCGAGACTGGCACAGAGTACGTTTACATTAACCCCTTTAATTACCCAATGCATTGTTGGTTTGAAAAAAAAAATAAAACACAACACTAGGACAAGTCTTACCTAAAAACGAAGTCAGATTTGTCTATTTCAGCTCCACATAGAGACTTGTTCAGAATTCCCCCATTTCCAACCACGGCACAGTGATTATAGGGGTACTCCACAAAGGGCTGTGACTAGCAGGGGAAAGGCAGAAACAGACATGACTGGCTTAGGAACAGACTTCTGGCTTAGGAACCACAAACACTAGCAGCTCAATGCCAGAAACTTCACTTTCCAGCCATGCTAAGGAGATGACAAATAATAGAGAAACAGAAACAGTACTTTAAAACACACACACACACACACACACACACACACACACACACACACACACACAGCATGCTGATCAACTTAATATAACTGATTATAAAATATCCATTTTATTCCTCTTGAGAGAAATAGACGTCATATAATACACAACAAAATGTAAAATTGCAAACCATATTTGTGTAAAAAATGTAATGCATCTTATGTTATGTAACTAAGTAATAAAATGAGAATGGCAAAAAAATCTCATATTGTGCAGTTCCAACAAATAGGACAATTTTTAGCAGTAAAAGAAAGTGGAGAGAGAAAGAGGGGAAGAGAGAGAGGGAAAGGAAGAGGGAGGGAGGAAAGCAGGGAGAGAGAGGAAGGGATGGAAGGAAGGAAGGAAGGGGGAGAGAGGGAGAGAGGACAGAAGAATTTGAAAGTAGCATTAAGTCTTTTATACCAAGGCACAAAAATTTGCAATTCAGCAAGTATCCCATGCTTTTGAAATAGTTAGACTTTCAGGCTCAGTTAATAGCGTTAGATTTACACTTGCCATCTCTGCAAATGCCCGGCTAGGCTGCTTCCGAGAAGGCTACCTACTCTGGAATAACATATTTCAAATTAATTTCTGAGGTCTGAATATATTTTAGGTCCTCCTGAGACCCACCTTTCTCACTCAAAATGCTACCTACTTTCCCCCAGTCCTCCACATTCTGAAATGTAACGTTTCTACTCAACAGTGCCTAATTCCTTTCCTAATCACTTTCCTTATAGCAACGTGTCCTTGGACCTGCAGAAACGGTGTGAGCTCCTGGCCCACGGTGACCCTGTCCTGATTCATTTATTTTGGTCTCTACAAGTAGAAATCAAGTCCGCAAGGAAGGAGAGGGTGGTTCTTGGATTGTTCAATTCATCTTTCAGTCCCTATCTAGCATAATGCAATTCACACAGTTGAGTTTTTGACAATGACTTTTTGGCCTAGCGGATCCCTTGTACCACCTCAGCGGTGCACCGGTGTTGATTCATCCAAGATTGCAGAGCTCACTGGGCGATCTTCAGGAAGTCTGTGAGCTAGTGGTTGACTTGTTGGTAACATGGACTGCTCATGCTGATGGCTTTTAAATCACTAAAAACTGCCAAGGCAATGCAGCGGTCGTACTCACTGGACACTATGATGAACATGAACTACACAACTTGTGGGTGGGGATGGGAGGGAAAAACTGGGCGAGAACCAGGGAGAGGGTGTCACTGTTCAAAAAGAAAAGTCCTTATTACCTGACTTAGGGAACTGTAACCCCTCTGTCCATCACCTTTATAATAATAATTTTTAAAACTGCAAAAGCTACAAAATCAGGGCACCCTCCTCCCCAATGGTAGTGGATCAGTACCACAGCCAACAGCTCAGGGAAGGAAGATGCGATTCTGAGCAGCCCCAAGGACCAGCAAACCCTTTAGCTGCCCTGCCTTCTCTAGGAAATATCCAACAAGCAAAGAGTCCTTGACTCCAGCACTTCCGTTTGTTTTGTTGCCTTTAACTTTTTTCTTTTTGGGTCCAGTCGTGGGGCCTGAACTCTGGGCCTGGGCGCTGTCCCTCAGCTCTTCAGCTCAAGGCTAGCGATCTACCACTTGAGCCACAGCGCCGCTTTCAGCTTTTTTCTTTTTGCTTATGTGGTGCTGAGGAATGGAACCCAGGGCCTCAGACATGCAAGGCAAACGCTCTACCACTGAGCCACCTTCCTAGCCCCTAACTTTTCTAGTACCCTGTTATTTATATCATACTTATTGTGTGAGCCATGCTGTTCTAAGTGCAGAACTTAGTATCATATTTAATCCACACCCTCACTTTAGGAGAAATTTTACAGATGGGGAAAATGGAGGTACAAATCAAAGCAACAAGCTCCAAAGAGGCAGAGCTGGGATATAAACCCAGCCAGTTGGTTCTAGAGAACCTCCGCTTCATCACCACACCACACACAGTTTCCTTCTCATCAGTGGACTGAAATGCTCACTTAATTGTGTGCCTCCTTTTCTCATCTGGCAGAGCAAATGGTTCCCAGACACCCCAGGCTTCAACTTACCAGCGACATTCTAGCTCAGGATACCTTCCAATAGTGTTTACCCCCAGGTACCACACTAAATTCCGAAGTTTATAGATTGGGCAGAATGCATATGCTCTTTATGGTACAGTAGGGAAAGACTACTGAGGGAACTCTAGCTCAAATTAAGCAATGAAAATAATGAATTTTTTTTTCTGGTTTCTTGGTCAATGGGGAGGAAACATCCGTATGTGTTAGAGTCTTCTGTTCAGGAGGAGTGGAGATAAATTACAAACTTCAATGTTCCCTAAAAATAACTCTCTGAAGAAAATGCAAATTTGCACAGCTCCACTGGCTGCTCATTGCTTGCTGTGGCTGAAAATCAACTTTGCTGCTTTCCTTCCCAAGGAACTTGGCAAAGTTCTTGGAGAGGAGTTACTTTCCATTGTCTAATCAAAAGTCATTGTGAACTGGTGTAAAGGGGCTGTGTGTGAAGAATGGCAGAGGAGAATGAGTGGAAAGCAAGGTTGAAACAAGGTCAGCTCCACTCTGAACTGCATCCATGAAAGGTGCTGTGGCTCAGACCCCTCATCCCAGCTACTCAGAAGCCTGAGTTTGGGATGGTTGTAGGTAGAAAACAGCCAAGGCAGAAAGGCAAGGAGACTCCTTTTGACCAATAGCGTGGCATGGTGGCTGATGTGGGAAGTATGAATAGAAGCATGAGGAAGAGGAAAAAGTGAGATACTCTCATAAAATACTGACAACAAAAAAAATGGGAAGAGGCCTGAAGGTGTGGTTCAAGTGGTAGAGTACCTGCCTATCAAATACAAGGCCCTGAATTCAAACTCCAATACTATCAAAAAAGAAAAACAAAACCAGAAAGCAATGGTCATCTTTACAAGTACCAGTAGTTTTGAGGCAGAAAGCCCAGATGCTTCATGTCATTCAAAGACAAGTCAGAGGAGCCCAGGACTGGAAGTTTATCCTTTATGACATAAGGGACTTCTTTGTAGGCTGATACTGCATTCAAAATTGCCTTTTTTATATATACATTTTTATTGTAAAAATACTGTACAGAGGGGTTACAGTTAGATGAGCAAGGTAATGAGTACATTTCCTATCAAGCATTGTATCCTCCTCCTTTGTTTTTCCCCTACCCTCCCTTCCCTCCCACCTCCACAACTACACTCCCCTCTACCCCACCTAAATTGTAAAGTTCAGTTTTCAACATAGTGTCTTGTGCATCTCATTGTTACAATGGGTCAACCCATATCCCTGTTTAAGCATTTTGTTTTTTCCCTTCCCCTCCCCAAATTACAAAAGTATATATACAAGATGCAGGGCACCAACATCAACTACAGTGAAAACAGGGGTTGTACTGTGGGGGAGGAATATAAAAAGAAACAAAAAAACCATGTGGTACATTATAAATACATTAGAAACAATAGCAAGCAAGAAAAAACCACTTGTGTCCCTATCTTGGGGTTCATTTCGCTTAACATCATCTTATCTGGTCATATGTACCTTTTCTGCTTGTCCCAGACATATTGCCTTTCTAGGGACTGTTGAATGTAGCTCAGTTGTAGAGTGCTAGCCTAGCATGAGCAAGGTCCTACTTTCAATTCCCAACATGGCATAAACAAGGAATTGCCATTTTTATAGACTCACTATACATATTCTATACAACACACCAGAGTATAGTAGCGTTTAAATTATTCATTCATTATTGCCAGTTATAACTTAAAGCTAGAGAAAATTCACCCACCAGCCATCGTTACTCACCACTGGAAACATATGGAAAATGTTCTCTCTGATTGGGATTTGCTTTTTACTTTCCACCTCGTAAGTCATGTTAGTGCCCACTGGAGTGTTGTTCTGAGAAACCACGAAGTTTTGGATGGCATCACAACAGGAAGTGAGTGTTGCTCTGAAGCAGGTAAGAACATACGTGAGACAAGAATATGACCTAAGAAACCAAAAGCAGAGACTAGAACAGTTAAGACAAAAGATGGTTTTGACCTGTTGACATTCAAAAGGAAGATAAGTCATTCACAAGATGACAGCGTGTGTGTGGATATGGATGTGTGCATGCATGTGCACACATGTGCGTGCACACGCGTGTGCACTCACGCACCAATCCTGGCTTGAACTTAAAGCCTGAGTGCTATCTTTGAGCATTTGTGCTCAGCCCAGTGGGCTTTTTTTTTGTAATTAATTGGAAGTAAGAGTTTCACAGACTTTTCTGCCAGGGCTGGCCTTGAACCACAATCCTTCAATCTCAGCCTCCTGCTTAGCTAGGATAACAGGCTCAAGCCTGGTTTTTTTGGTTGTTGTTGGTCATGGAGCTGGAACTCTGGGCCTGGGCACTGTCCCTCAGCTCTTCAGGCACATGCTCTACCACTATGGCCACAGATCCACTTATGGTTTTATGAGAGGTTTATTGGAGATAAGAGTCTCATGGACTTTTCCTGCCCAGGCTGGCTTTGAACCACAATCCTCATATCTCAGCCTCCTGAGTAGCTAGGATTACAAGCATAAGCCACTGGCACCTGGCAGAAGACATTTTTTTTTTTTTTTTGGGTCCGGTCATGGGGCCTGAACTCTGGGCCTGGGCGCTGTCCCTCAGCTCTTCAGCTCAAGGCTAGCGCTCTACCACTTGAGCCACAGTGCCACTTCCGGCTTTTTTCTTTTTGCTTATGTGGTGTTGAGGAATTGAACCCAGGGCCTCATGCATGCGAGGCAAGCACTCTACCGCTGAGCCACCTTCCCAGCTCCGCAGAAGGCATTTTTATCTCGTTCAAGTCTCATTAATCTGGATGGAGAGCGAGGTGGAAGGTTCCAATGGCAGAGCATGTTAAATCCACTCAGTGCCCCTCTTACCAATTCAAAACACTCATTATCCCAACAGTTGTAAATTTCAGCATCACCTTGTAACCCTAGGGTTATCATAATCATAAAAATTGAAGGTGCACTATAGAAGTTCACGTTAACCTCAATAACATTTGCCATAGTTTCAGTTGGTCCAAGTCAATCAACATGCAAGAATATTTGTCTTGGTTCTTTCAAGAGAAAGAAACCATATTCTTACATGGTTTGATATAGTGCATTGATACAACTCATCTACTTCATTGCTAGTTATTATTGTTAATCTCTTGCTGTGCCTAACATAAACTGGACTCTATCATCAGTGTATATGTATAGGAAAAAATAGAATATATAAAGTTCAGTACCAGCTGTGGATTCAGGCATCCTCTGGGGATTTTCAGGCATTATCTCCTAAGGATAGGGGAGGACTACTTACAGGAATAATACAGAATTTAGGTTAAGAACAGCATTGTGGATCTGTCTGTCTGTCTGTCTATCTCTGTTTCTCTCTGCCTCTCATTCTCTTACCCTCTCTCATTCTCTGTCTTTCTCTGTCTCTCTCTCCATTTCTCTGTCTGTCTGTCTGTCTCTCTTTCTCTCTCTCTCTCCCTCTCTCAAACCTATGTTGCCCCGACTGGCCTGGAACTTCTGGGCTCAAACCACTATCCTGCTCAGTCTCCCAAGTAGCTAAAACTATTGGTGTGGACCAAGTCCACTTATTTCCTTGGTCTTCTTGAGCAACTTATTATTTTCTTTCTAATGATCATCATTGTCTATGTATTTTAGAGATGGAAAGACAGTATGTCACCAAGCCGATGATGAAAAGATGAACTTGATATCTTCAGATCCTGATCATCTTCTGGTCTTGATCATGGCAGCCTGTCAACTGAATTTTCTGCCAACTGAATTTCCTATGTCATCTCCTAAGTTAGATAGGGACACAACTTTCTGATTCGCTTTTTCTAGGCAGGACTGACAGCTCACTTTCAGGAAGCCACTATCAAAGATGGACTGTTATCCCATTTTTAAGGTTAAAAGTCATTAGGGGGGAAATAAGGCAAGACATAGAGTTGAGGAGACAGGGAAATTACATTATTTTAAACAAATATCAAAGGGGTCAGACTCAGGATTTCAAACCCAGAAGTAAACAAAATGCAGTATGTTCTCCTCTCACAATAATTCCCTTGAAAGAAAAGTTGTTTTTTTTTTTTTTTTAAATTTACCTTACAAAGGGGTTTCAATTCAGTCTGTCAATTTGAATGTATAGTGATCAATGTCAAGAGGTATGGGAGGGACTAAATCTGTCTTGTCCTTTATTTTTATTTTTGTTTTGGTTATCTTTAAGGAGTTGTATGAAGTTTATAAGTACAAAGCATCTTGATCAGTATCACCCAAAGTGATGAGAGAGTGTATTGTATTGGGAGAATCAAATTCTCCTCTGAAATGGTGTAAATCTGAGTAGTTTTCATAGGTAGGTAAAGACAGAAAAAATGGAAGGCATGTCTGCCCCAAAACATCCCGAAAGTTATTTGTGTTTTGGGTGGGCCTCAGCTGCTATATACACCCATAAGCAATGTCACGGTTGTGGGTTGCCAGACTGACATAATAACCCATGAATTCCTCCAGCACAGAAAGAATAAAGGCAGTACATAACACCTGCCATTTCAAGTCTTAAACTCCCATTTCCTGCCTACAAAGCATGGCATGTTTACCTCTACTTTTCAACTTCTCTTTACATTAACTCTCTTGTGCTGAAATAAATCATTGTTAAAAGTTTAAAGAGAGAATAATATTAAATCATGAGAGTAGTTATATAATGAATTCTTAGGAGACAAGTCCAATAAGAAGAAAAATCATCATGGTGTGTGTGTGTGTGTGTGTGTGTGTGTGTGTGTGTGTGTGTGTGTGTGTGTGTGTGTGTGTGTGTGTGTGTGTGTGTGTGTGTGTGTGTGTGTGTGTGTGTGTGTGTGTGCGCGCATGCCTTGGCTCTGGGAACTGAACCTAGGGTCTGGGTGCTATCTTTGTGCTTTATTTTGCACTCTTACCACTTTGAGTCACATCTCCACTTCCCACTTTTTTGGTGCTTAATTGGAGATTCAAGTCTCACAGACTTTCCTGTCTGGGCTGGCTTTGAACCACCATCCTTAAAACTCAACCTTCTGAGTAGCTAGGATTACAGGCACAAGACCCTGGTGCTTTGGCTTATATCGTGACTTTCAAATAAAGTGAATTTGAAATTGTCATTTCTTACAGAACATGAAGGAAAATAAGAATCGGTGTCATGCTACATTTCAAAATTATTTTAGAATGAAATTATTATTAGGATATGAATCCTGGAAGGTGCTTTCAAAAACCCTTAACCTCTAGCAAGTGAATGTCAAAATACACAGAATTTACACTTTGTTTATATAATTCTCCATAAATGAGGGTGTCAAAATGTCTCTTGATAATCACTCCAGTGTTCAATCAGCCTTAGAGTCCGGAGACTCTTCCATTTGCACAAATAAACTCTTGTTTCTTTGGATCACCTTATAGGAAACTTGTACATAACTGAAAACAGTGTTTAATTAACTGTTCAATCTTGGAAGAGTTTAGAGATAATGGCTTCTTAAGATTTCCCTAGTAGTAAAAGTAGTTCATTCTTTTCCTCATCTTGTTCCTCTTTAAACCTTTAACTTCTAAAAGATTATCTTTAAGTAGTTGTACAGAGGGGTTTCGATTCGCCATGCCAGTTGACAAGAACAATGTATCTTGATCAGTGTCACCCCTTCCATCATTCTTCCCCTTCTCCTGTCCCCACCCACCCCTGCAATTTTCCTAGTTCCATTTTCACATATATACATTTAGTAATGTGGCTGCATTTGACTATACTTCCTCCCTCCATTCATCTACCTCTCTTCTTCTTTTTTTTTTTTGTGTCCGGTCATGGGGCCTGAACTCTGGCTTGGGCGCTGTCCCTCAGCTCTTTAGCTCAAGGCTAGCGCTCTACCACTTAAGCCACAGTGCCACTTCCGGCTTTTTTTCTTTTTGCTTATGTGGTGCTGAGGAATCGAACCCAGGGCCTCTGGCATGCAAGGCAAGCGCTCTACCACGGAACCACCTTCCCAACCCCTCTATCTCTCTTCTTGACCCCCTACAATTTTGAGTTTCCTGGTATTCATTTTGTGAAGCTTTAAGTTAGTCGTTCAAAGCAGCTGCAGTGCATACACCATGCTTTAGTTAATATGTTTGCATATATATGCATATGACCGTATATTTCTTCAAATCCTGTCATCTTTTTTCATGTTACTTACAAAATATGTATGTGAGCTGGGGCCAACCGTCAGACAAGAGCTAGTGAATATTCAGTGAGAGCTGACTATGGTTAGACTCCTTGTAGCTTGTCCTTCCTGTGTTCACAGTTCTATTATCATTCCTTGGTTCTGAAGGGCATATTTTTATACATCTTTATACATATTTTTTACATATATTTATCCATATCCCTGACTTTGGTCCTTTTTGAGAAAATACAATGCTCTAATGTGTCATGTTCATTTTAAATTCAATATTCCTAATCCAATCATTCTCAGAGAATGAAAAAAATTAGTGCCTCAAAACTGGGACTTCAACAATGCTTCTTATCAGCTACCCCATTTCACAAGATGGTATATTCTTCTTAAATCAATTCTGCCAGTTGCTTATTCCTTGTCTTTTTTCTGCTTTAGAACCTACCATTTCTAAAAGATGGTTTGTGAAGGTTGACAGATCAAAATAATGGTGATGACATGGTGTTCAGTCCAACACATGGTACTAAGTAGCTTTTAATGACAATTTTAATTTGACAATAGTTATTGTGACACACTGTAATTCAGGGATCCTTTTTATTTATTGTAATTTTTTTCGTATGGCCCTTCTACCATGTCCTCCAGTCCTTCTGTAGTGCTTATTCAGGAATCCTTATGTGTTTTACCATTTTAAAAAGTCTGTCTTATCCAGCATTGTAACAAAATTTTCCCCTTAGTTTTGAGCTCCTGTTTGACTGGGATCCAATGGTCAAAGTACCCTAAACTCTTGTCATCACCA